GTTGGTTTTCATTTTGTTTTAATTTATTTTTTATTTTATCACTTTTTAGTTTTTTTTCATCTTTTTTTTTTTAATTACTTTTTTTATCACTTTTTTTTCTTTATTTTTTTAAACTTTTTTTACGTTTTTGTTTTATTTTTATATTTTTTCCTTTTCTATCACTTTTCCTTAACATTTGTATCTTATTTTTTACCTTAGATTGTAAGCTCCTTGGGGCAGGGACTGATGTGGATGTGCTCACTGTTAAGGGCTGCGCAAATTGTCGGCGCGGTATAAATGCCCATAATAAATAAATAATTTAGGTGTGTTTAGGGATTCCTGTGTCGGGAACCTGTGATTTCCTGCAGCAGGAATCCCAAATCTGCCATATACAAGCAGCAGCTGTCACAGATTAGCATGAGGTAACATCTTCTGGTACTGAGTTGCAAATGACACGGGGATATTCCTTGGTTGGTCTTTGTTGTCTACCTATGACGACTTGGTCACCTCCAGCTTCCAACAGGGTACCCAAGGTTTAACCCTATACCCTGAGCTATGTTGTCTCTGTCAGGCCGCACAAAGCTCCCTCCTTGGTTCTCTTCCAAGAGGATTTCATGGGACAAATTATAACCTGATTTCTGACTCTATCTGCGGCTTTAGTGGCATCTAAGCCTTCTACCGCAGAGTTTCTGTCCAATCATTTTTCAAAAAGTCTTAATGGACGATATTGAGGAGCCTCAAGCAGCTGCTATTACTCCCAGGATTACATAGACTGCTTCAGCTCTCATTGATGCTTTGTGCACTACATTGAGATTGGAAGAACAGCCTGCAGCTTCTACCAGTGCTGCTACCTGTCTAGGATTTCTTAGAGGTACTAAGACTGCTAAGACCTTGCTGGTGCACCCATTAGTGCCAGATGTGCTTTATGGGAATTATGACACTCCCAGTGAACTTTTCACTCCCACTCAAAGTTTGGCAGCTCTTAATCCATTTGAGGAGTCTTTTGTTAAGAAATCAGCTGTTCCTACTGTGAACTTGACAATATCCTATTTATAAAGCACTAACGATCTCTGAGGAGAATGCATTCATTTTAAAAAATCCCATCCATAAGCATTTGAAAATGCTTTTCAAAAACGTTTTCTCTGGCTGGCCCTGCGTAACAACCTACATTGGCCATTATTACAGTCCATCAACTTTAGGATGAACTAGTGCCATAAGATAGTATCCTGTTTCCTTCCAAACTGGTCCCCTGTTTGTGGAACATTTGGAACTCATGCCAATACTCCTTTGCTATTGTATTGATGATTTAGTAGATATCTCATTATCTGTATAAGTCTCATGAGCTGGGCTGTTGAACAGGCGTGCAAAAAAACATTTACTGCGCATGCCCTTCGAGGGCCAGAATCTCTTTAGAGCTACCTTAAACCACTCTAAGGAGTCACTGGGGGTAAGAGTACACACCACCAATCTGAGACCAGGAAGAATGCCTTTCATTTCTGCAATACAGTCGTGAGCAGCTGGCACAGTGGCCACCAGAGGTGTAAGCTCTCCCCCTTAAATTAAGTTAATTGAAACACAAGAAGAAAATCAGGGGTTTTTGAGAGGTATTTCACCAAGGCTTGAAATTTCGTAAAAAATGATTTTTATTTCACATTTGCTATAAATATACATATAAAAAGCAACAGGCAGTTGCGATGAGTTAAAACAAAATTAGACCAGGAGCATAAACCCATTTAGCAAACTATACATATCCATTAAGGATCGATACATTCAGTGTGTCCAAGCCCTACGCTTGGGATTGAAAACTGAACTAACAAAAGATAGTATATTCAATCAATACATATCAACAATTCATTAATAGATCTAAAAAAGCATAGAGTGTAAAGAGAGATGTGCTTTGGCAGCTAAGCCAAAAGGAGAGAGTACCACCACCATTATCATCATCGCACACCCGGTACTCACCACCCACTGGGAGCAGCTTAGAAATGGGTATAGCTCCCTGTGCGAAGTGTAGGCGGGGGTGGTATTCCTCCGACAAGGACACTCCGCTCAGTTTTGTCACGGGGACCTCGGGGCCAAGACAGGAGGGACCTCAGGTGTGGGCAGGACTGCCTGTGCTTGTCTTGTAATGTTGCTATGCTTCCATTTCCATATACCTATTTTAAATGTTGTTAATTATTTTAGTGTTTGCACATCAGGTAGGTCTAAGCATCATCCTATACCCAGTGTCCACGTGTACCCATTAATATGTGACTATACCCTATATTGCAAAAAATGTGAATATATATATACAAATAAATATTATTTAATTAATTGGATTAATTAATTGTTCAATCCCCTTGATGAAGTGTCAAGAAAGACCAAATAAAATGAAACAATAAATATATTATTATATGTGCAATAGTGTGAATGTGGATAAAGTGACTGTGTCCCACTCTAGGGATTA